TTTTGTCTACGGCATGTTCTAGATAACGCACCTGCTATTTTGGTGGTTGAAGATTGCCGAAACTATCAAAATAAATGACATGTTTTTCTCTCTTCGCATACGATACCCAGTGAGTACCCGGTCTATTTATATTATTTAAATTGACAATACCACTCTCAATACGACGTACTACGTCCGGTAAAGTATTACGCATGAAAACACCTCTAAAGAAAGGTATGCACATGCGCTTAACTAGTTGTTCTAACTGCATATTTGTTGTTACACCTGTAGGTAATTTTAATGTCTTTTCAGCGTTTTTTTTTAAAGTCCCCGTCCGTACGGAGTCAGATAAATTCCTCGACCTTTCATCGCGCGATTATGACGTTGCGTTTTTTCTGGTTGCCGCTGTGCAGCTCTCGTATCATTTAACGTTTTTGCAACTTTCGCCGCTCCACCAACGAGCGCACCGAGAGCACTCAGCAGCGGTAGGACCGGTAACACACCGCCGCGTTTAGCAATTGGAAGTATTCGCTTCTTTTTTGCTGACTTGCTTTTATTTTCAAGCTCATGCCGAGTTTTGTCTTTGCTTTCATAGCCGCCCACACTGCGGTCGCAGCTGCTCTCTCACCGAGACTCGAGTCCGCTGCTGGAATACGATCGCGCGCCTTCGCAGCAAGTGCGTTATCAGCTACGTGTCAAGCAGCGAGTTTGTTGCTTCGCGAATAAGCTATAGTGCGTTCACAACAAGCCGCGTCCAATGGATTAATGCCGCGATCGCCTCTAGCTAATCGTTTTTCCAAACGCGTTCCCGGGCCACAAAATTGGTAGCCCGGAATATGTAATTCGACAAGAAGAGCGTTTATCGCGCACTTTAACAATCCACGACCTAACATAGATTGCAATATACGTTTGACATCAGCTGTCTACTGACGACTGAGTAGACACGCTCGACGCGTCTCTATAAATGGGTGCTCCTCGCTATCGCAAGGCAGTTAAAAACAAACCATGCAGTTCGTACAACAACCTGTGGCAATTAAAGTAATTAATTTTGACAACAAGACGCAACAAAATACGCAAGAAAATACGCAAACATGGAATAATGCTACCGGTTACTATACGCGGTATTGTGTGCGGTCCTTTGACCTACGGCAAGACGAATGTAGTGTTTAGCTTGCTTGAAAGTCCACACGGTGTACGTTTTGAAAACGTGGACGTGTATTCCAAGTTGTTGCAACAACCAAATCAATATCTGGAAAATGTACTTTTATCAGTAGATGAAATCGGTTATTTTACCTTTTCTAATAATAGCGATGTGATTCCACCGAGTGACACTTTCGAATTTTATTTTTATTTTTATTTTTGGTGATGTGGCATGTGACAAGCAGGATACGATACGAGAATACTTTGCAATGGGTCGTCACTCACATGTCGACTGTTTTTATCTTCGTCATACGTACGCGAGGATACCAAAGCATCTTATACGTGACAACGCAAATCTGATAATTCTGCTTAAACAAGATGATACCAATCTCAACCATGTGTACAACGATCATGTAAACACGGATATGTCGTACCAAAAGTTTTGTACATTATGTCGCAAATGTTGGCAAAACAAATATGGATTTTTAGTGATCGACAAGGATAGTCCTTTGAACAGAGGTTGCTATAGAAAAAAATTTAACAAAGTCGCGATACCAGCGAGTGGTTAATCGTTGTTGAGACATCAACCAAATATCGTCTCTCCTACAGTGCGAGCAACATGACTGTACCTGACGAAAGCAGTGAAATTATAGATCACGAGAAAGTAGCGAAGGAGATTGCAAAAACGAGTCAATCCATTCGTCACAAATATCGCGCCCTGAAAACCGGTAAATTAGAAAAAGAAATTGCATTGGAAAGACAATTCAAACCTATTATCAAACCTCTGAAACATATTGCTAAAAATACGGAAACTAAGCAAAACACGTCGGATACATTGTTTCTCGAAGACACCTCACACGAGACGAAGCGGAAACGAACACAAATATCGAACGTAACACTGTCCCCTCCTTTACGCAATTCAAAGCGCACACGATATAACACTGCAATGGCGACTTCTACTCCGACGAAAAAACAAACCGAACGACAATTGACATGAGATTCTCCATCAATTGACACTATCGTCGCTACTGATGCTACTACCAACAAATCGTTTTAGTCAACTATTCAAATGCGAACGTTGGTCTTGAAATATTTCAAAATCATTTTGGTCCGTTGGCGCAACAATATATGAAAGCTATCCTGAGTGGTAAGAAAGAGAACGACATAGACTACATATATGGTGTGTATTTCGATAACGATGGAATGATGCTCGGTGATAAGCGTTTTGACGTGGATGAACAGGATAATATAATCATAAATGGTATACGATTCAAAGCAACACAAGGATTGTACAAATTAATTTTCATGAAATGTCCAAAGAGCAGGTTATATACCGAAGAAAATAAACAACGATACAAAAAGATAGTGGGAATAACACATGCACATAGAAAACATCACAATAAGCTTGGTGCCATACTGGGTAACAAAGAATACAAATACAGATACATAATTGCACGGGTGATACTCTATTGACCACAGTACGATTTGACACCGCTCGATTCGACACAGATTTATTCGACACCAAATTATTCGACACCGTACGATTC